CCCCCCCCCCCCTCCCCAGCTACAGAAATTATGTAATTTGCGGGCAAAACCCTAATGATTCAGGCATTGGCACTTGAGATAAAACATTACAAACTAATGCTGTTGGCGTGATTCCCAAAACTCGAAAATAAAGTTTCTAGTTAGTTAGTTTTTTTGAAACTTTTTCTTTTGGTAAGTTTTGAGATTTAACTCGTATTTAGGCTGTTGATAGAATATGATTGATTGATTGAGTATGCAAGCTTTGAATGTAACTATTTTTGGAAATATAATAATTATTGCAGTTTCGTTAGATGTGGGAATTTTGAACGTTTTTGTTTTTCGTGCAATTTGATTGCGTTTGCATCCTGATTAAAACGATCACACATTCAGGCATTGGGTAAATTTTTTCAGGCAAGAAGGTCACTGCCCTCCCCTCCCCAAAATCTGAAGATGCCTGCATGCCTATGCTAAAAGTTGAAAGTGAAAGAATTATTTGCAGATGACGGAAATTCCCTGTTGAGGTCAGAAAAAGAAAACATTGTGTTTCTCCTAGTTGGTCTATGATTAATGTCTGTGCCAGCCGTAACTGGATGTGGCAAGCATTGGCCTTTGTTCCACTTCAGACGTCATCACCTTTGACTAAAACATTTGCATCACTTATACTCAAGTTCTGCAGGAAGGAAAGATCTTTCCAGTGATACCCAGATTAGAGTGATTGGGTCAATTGAGCCTGAAATATGCACAAAAATGCTCACAGTTAGAGTGAAAAACTGTCATAAAACACAATACTAGTGGAAAGAAAGGCATGCAGTCATGTTAAAATTGCCTTTTTGAGTAGATTGGAGCTAATTTGGCTCCTATCCAGGCTGAAAATGTCCAAAATCGCCAAAAAATGTGTTTTTGCCAAAAAGCTCCAGCTGTCGATGGGTTAAACGTAAGTTTGATTTACGTGTAAATAATTTGCATTAAAAGCAATGAGATGTCATCTCAGGTTTAACCCCTTCTCTGACCCTTTGTAGGTCTGTAAGCAACTGGAGGTGATAAGTGGTCCTGCAAAGAAGAATGGCCCAACTTCTGATACTCTACGCAGAGCAGTGGGTGTGGCCCAGCACCATGATGCTGTCAGTGGTACATCAAAGCAGCATGTGGCTTATGACTATGCTAAGCGACTTGCCATTGGTGCAACAGAATGCCAGGTAATATTACACTTTTAATAAAAATGCATATTCAATTGTGATCAAGCAAGTATGAATTTTGAGCGTGTGCATTTATTTCATTAAGGAAGTCATTCATCAACATGGAAAAACTAATGTCTAAAACATTATAGTCAAGTTCTCCCAACTAGTACCATTAGAAATGAATGAAGACCTGTGAGGAGAATTTGTACTACGATTATCAGTTGAGTAAGGTGCAACAAGAGTTTGGTGACCAGGTTTTAATGGTTAACCTGTGTTGTTGTCATGGCAACTTGCTTTGTTTCCCAGTGGCAATTTGTTGACCTTTGACATCATTATCAGCAAAAAATGGGAAATTGCAGGTAACGATATTTTTACCATTGGAATGAGGAAAGTTGCCCCTGGCAAAACCATAATTTAAGTGTGTTCCGTTGCGCCTTACTCAACTGATAATCATAGTATGTTTTGCATCAGAGCTTAAAAAGTTAAGATGGTCTGCTGAAAGTTCGAGCAATAGGTGCAAATATTATTTACTAAAAATCTACTCAAAACATGGTAACTTTTGGAATGCTATTCCTATTGAAAACAGCTCACTTTAGTTCATTTCTCTAAGTGACCTTGTGATCAAATTCTCAAGCATTCTCGAGAAAGTTAATGTCAAACCTCGTAAGAATGCTTAAAGCCGTGTTATTGTGTTTTTAACTAATGCGAAACGTCTGTTTTAATTGAAATATGGATAACTACAAGTTCAATTTTCCCTCACAGGGTCGGCTTGAGTAAGTCTTGATAAGTTCTTAACTGTATTCAAAATATTACAATACCATGAGGTTTCCTTGGTAACTTAGTTTTTGCAATTATTGCTCAAATGTTCTGCAGAAATCATCTTAACACATCATCAATTCTATCAACTGGTATTAGAAACTGTTAATGATAGCCTGAGCAATTGCAAAGAGAATTTAGATTTTAATAAATGAAATAAATGAGTAAGTTTTCTTTATTTTTCTTTCAGTGTTTTCTAAAGGAAATAGAAAACATTTTTTCTGACTGTGTTTCTATTGAGATGTAGAATAACTTCTGAAAGATTAAGAGAACTAAAAATTGCAGGGATAAGTGAATAAAGATGGTGAATTTTAAGCTTGATAATGAAATGTGAAAGGCTACTACTGGCTGGAGTGTTTTCTTTTTTACGCATAGTTAGTCGTAAACTCAATTGTTGATTAAAGTAAGTTACACATTAGCTCTCAGCGATTTCAGACAATGAAGCGTTTCAGTGTTAGAGAAATTTGCCTGTTAATTAGTTTTATTAACCTCAAAATTGGTGATAAAGTTCGCTTTCCACTTCCACTCTGAGAAATCAGTGAAGCTGCTTTAGAAACTAATGTTCCTAATCCTGCCGGTCTGTTAAGTTCTAATACCGTAATACTACACAACTGGGCGAGTGGCCTAACAAAACAGTTTTTTTTTTCAGGTGTTAATTGGTGATGTGCTCGGAAAATTAATGGCCAAAAACCCTGAAACCAAGCCTCCTGAACTGACATTTTGCGACCACCTCAACATAAGTGTCTGTACTGTGACTGAAGAGAGCAAATCCTTTACTGTGACTGTCTACAATCCCCTTGCCCGAGACCTAACCCCGTATGTCCGCCTGCCAGTCGCGATGGCCTCAATGGCTGTGTTTGGTCCACAAGGTACTGCTGTTGAAACGCAAGTGCTCCCGATTTCCGATGCTACGAAACAGCTGCGTAAAAATCAGAACCAGACACAAAGCAATTCATCTTTTGAGCTTGTTTTCATGGCCAAAGTCCCTGCTCTAGGGTTTGCCACCTACTTCGTGAACTCGACAAAGGCCAAGTCACCGTCCGCACTAAAGAAGTTCTTTCGGCCCGCTCCCAAGCCCGCTTACACAGACTCCGGTGAAGTCTCCATCGAAAACGAGCTTGTTAAACTTACGTTCTCTCAGGACACGGGCCATCTGACAAGCATGACTGATTTGACTTCCAAAGTCATCACCGCATTGAGCCAGGCATTTTACTGGTACAACGGCAGCATGGGAAACGACAGCAGCCGTCAGCCGTCGGGCGCGTACATCTTCAGACCTAACAGTAGCCGCGTGAATCTCATCTCCAGTGGCAGCAAGATGGAGATCTTCAAGGGTCCCCTGGTACAGGAGGTACGTCAGGTGATCTCTCCGTACATCAGCCAGGTGATCAGGCTGTACGCTGGTCAGCGGCATGCTGAGTTTGAGTACACTGTGGGACCGATACCTGTGGGGGATGGGTGGGGCAAAGAAGTGATCACCCGATTTGACACAGATATCAAGTCCGACCAACTCTACTACACCGATGCTAACGGCAGAGAGATGCAAGAGCGCAAGAGGAATTACCGACCGACCTGGAAACTCGACATCACCGAGCCAGTTGCTGGAAATTATTATCCAGTCAATAGTCGAATGTACATCAAGGACAGTGCTAAACAGCTGACAGTCCTGACTGACAGGTCCCTGGGAGGGTCCAGCATGAAAGACGGCTCCATGGAGATCATGTTGCACAGGCGGCTTCTCGTAGATGACAAGAGAGGGGTGGGTGAGCCGCTCAACGAGACGGGGATCCTCGGTAAAGGTTTGATTGTCCGCGGGAAGCTGTGCCTTACTCTAGCGCCACCCAAGTCATCTGGTGCCCTGCATCGCGAACTTGGCGAGAAGCTCCTTCTGGAACCCGTCATGGCATTTGCGCCTAATAGCCTCACTTTCAAGAAGTGGACGAGCCAGTTTAACTCGTTACACAGCGGTATGACCCGCCAGCTTCCCGCCAATGTTCATTTGCTGACTCTGGAGACGATGCAGGACACCGCGTTGGTCCGCGTGGAACATCAGTACGAGGCTGGTGAAGATCCCAAGCTCTCGCAGCCTGTCAACATCTCACTCGCAGAACTCTTCACCGACTTTGACATCGAGTCCATGACTGAGATGAACTTGTCTGCCAATCAGCTACTGAAGGATAAAAAGCCCCTTCACTGGAATATCAAATCGAAGAAGAACGTGGAAGAAAACAAGACGAAGAAGAAGAGGGTGCATCGCGCCGCAACTGATATGAACGTGGAGCTCAGTCCAATGCAGATCCGTACCTTCAAGGCTATTATCAAACGTCACGGAATTTCCAGTTATACTAATATACACTAAGTACACCTCCACATAGCCTACTACGCAGCCGTTATTTGGGTTGACACACAACACGGGTAGCCTGCGAACGCAGACGTATTTCCGGCTGTCGGTTGTCTCCGCCGAAAAGAATGTCTGTGAACCCGAACCAGGAAACTATTTCTGTGACGTAATGGCTTTTGTTTCTCCTTGGTCAATCAGATTCCATGATAGAATGAAACTCGAGTGCTCCTCGAAGCGAACACCTCGCGCAGTAGTTCTGGGGCTACTTGAGCTAAACTGTGATTGGCTTAAAATTCCTACGTCACAGAAATCGTTTCCTGGCTCGGGTTTGCAGACTTTATTTTCGGCGGAGACAAGCGACAGCCGGAAATACGTCTGCGTTCGCGGGCTACAACACGGGCGGATGCAGGAATTTCTGAAAGCGGGTGCGGGGAGAGGGGGGGGGGAGGGGGAGGGGGAGGGGCGGGGTTGTGCACTTATATAACTTTCGACGTCATCGCTATCCCCTCAACCCCTCTCCTGGATCCGCCTCTGCAACAACCGTGATAATGAACAAGCGTTGTGTGACGGAACTAATAACGGCTGCGAAGAAGGCCAACCTGCAGATAGAAAAATAGCTTGAAAGCGTTAAAATGAAATCAGGTTGGTTGTTAAACAGGCGAACTCGTGAAGGCTAGGTCACCTTACTTCTGACAACTCTGCGACTGGTTTGAATAGAACGATTGTCAAAACTGACAGAAGTGGAAAAACGGCATGCAAAATTCATTCAGATCTATGAAATGTTGGTTAAGTGGCTGGGATGAATAGAAGTGTTTTGTAGAAGTTGGCCGAGATTTCATTTCTTTCTCAGTTTAGAACAGAGAATCGGAAAGAATTGTAACCTAGCCCGTTTGTGTTGCTAGGTAACACCTAACTTGTGTTTTGTTTTGTAGTTACTTTTTATTGGTTAATCACAAAGTTAATGTAAGCGCTCAGACCGCAAATTTTGTAATAAACTTTAGAACTTGAAGCCAAAGCTATAGAACTTTTCTCTCTTTAAGTCCTAGGACCACTGGGGCCCTGGGTAGCTTGGCTTTTCGTCCCTTTCTCCTAATTTTGTCAAATTATGCCAAAAGTTATGCCAAAGTTCACAATTTATGCCCCTAGACTCCAAAATGGTGCTTACAAATGACGTTTCTGTGTTTTTAACAGCGAAAAGAAGAAAACAAAGCTGAATTATGAAAAGAGGTTTCAAGGTTGGGTTTAGCCTGCCTAGCAAGCATTCCATTACGCATACCCTTTTCCACATTTCTCCGAGAGCAAAGGATCGACGATGTAGGGAGTGGTGCGGGAAAGCGTTCCTCTACTCGCCCCACCATTCCCTGCTTCGTCGATTGATTTGCTCTGGCTATAATTTTGCGCGCGGGCAAAATAACCGCTGTTCAAGAAAGGAGGCCGTGACTTTCTTCTCGGGGACGAATGTGGACTGGACTCGAGTGAGCGGCGGAAATCGAGCCTGGGCCCGAATGCGAAAAAAACGTCTTTCGGGAACACTTGCTACGCGGGCTAAAGGATCGAGTACATTCCTAAACCGAAAACTGTCTAAATAATACAGCTTCCTCTTCATCCCGATTGACGTTTCATTAAGTAACCCCTTCGAAGATTATTTGGTGCTTTAACCCAATCGTTATAACCGAACACGACAGCGATTTCGAATTAGCGACCACTAATTAAAATCCATATCCAGTGGATAGTGCTTTATTCGGAGAAAAGCGTTTCCGCCATAACAACTTTCGCCTCGGTTGGAGAAATACAGCTCTTTTGAGACAGGTCAGTAGTCCTACAAAAACGTACTCAACAATGTCAAAAGGTATTATGGGTAATCGTGGTTTCAGTTGCTTTGAAGTTCGAGGTGCTTCAGTGGAAGGCAGCAGCACAAACACGTGTATTCATGCTTTCCTTCCTTCTTGCTGAAACACTGTGAACCTCAACCCAGCAACGAGAAACTATTACTACCCATGATCCTAATCGGCATTGTCGCGTACGCTTTAACGCATTTGTGGAACAAGTGTGTACATACAGCTGATTCCACAAAGGTGGTAACTGCACATTCCTAGGGAAAAGTAATAGTCCCTTGCCTGTCGGAATTACCATAAGGCTTGTAAAATTGTTACACTGTAACTATTCATTTTTTTAACGTCGTATTTGTCGATCGAGTAGAAGGCAAGCTGTACTGAACTCTAACCCCCCTCTAGCCTGTCCCAGGCTCTCGGTCAGTGGAGCGGGGAAGATCGAAAACGCGTGCAGGCTACGAGCGGGATTTGGGAGAAGAAGGGAAGGGCGCCCTATCATTTTCTCTCCCAGGCTCCGCTCGTAGCCTGTACGGTTTTTCGATCGTCCCCACTGACTGAGAGGCTGGGACAGGCTAACCCCTTTCCGAAATCAGCATTTACCGCGTGCATGCGGATAAGTCGGGTCCAGTGCTTGAGCTTAAACCCAACTCTACAATTAGTGGTGCTAAAGAGTCTTCTTTATTAAAGAAATAAAAAAAGTATTTAAATGATCTGACAATAATAAATATCTGAGCCGAAAAATCAAGAAGTCATCCAATAAATTCGGACCACTTAGAATTGCTAAACTCACATTTTTATGAAAACTCTGAGGCGAAAATCGTAAATGACATATTGGACAAAAAATCTTTGTTATTTCTGGTCACGTGGTATCCGCAGAATGGTATTCCATATCACTATCCCTTGTTCTCCAGCCTCCGCCGGAGATATCATAAATTATCAACTGGTTATCAGCTCCGCCACTAAGCATAGACTGTGAAAATACAAATAATGGTACTTAACATTAACTGAAGGCAAACTAATCGAAGTATAAGTAAGAGAATTAATGGAGACCTCTCGTCAACTTACAGTTTGTAGAGCCCAGTTTACGCACATAACTTTATCCTGGTGTTGGGTCATTGTGAACAGCGGTGCACTTAAGCTGATGAAAGATAATAGAATCCTTTAGTTTGAGGTGACCTAAGAGAGCCAAAATAAAGCGCGGTTGTCTCCCCCCTGCTCCACCTAGCCCCTTACCACTCTTCAAGCTTTCTATCTTGGCCACCAAACCCTAAGTGGTACTTACCTCCGTGTGTCCCAGAGTTTGACTGTCGTGTCGTACGACCCAGAAATCAGTTCGAACTCGCTGCTTGGTGACCATGCTACTGAGGACACCCAGCCTTGATGTGACGTCAGCGTTGTTTTTACAATGGATCCGTCTGAAAGAACGAATGTTAGTGTTGAAACAATAAAGATGGAAATTAGCGGTACAAAATTATGTCTAGTTAAAGAAACAGGACACTTATGTTATGTTCTTGGACAAAAGACAGTTTTCTTTCCAAGAGTATGAATGGATGACAGCAAATTGTTGGTTAGTTCGTTATTTGTGTTGGGATGGGATTGTAATGACGTGTAGTAAAAAAAAATGTATACGTAATTGGCCACTCCCCATTGGGGCTTTTCAGGACCAATGTAAACAAACAATGATAAATAAGTATTCAAATAAACATAACTAGGTTAAGAATCNATAAAACGAAGTTTCATATCCCTGGCAGATAGAGAAACACGGAAAAATAGTTACTACCCCTTTTAACCCTTTACCCCCTAAGGCGAATGGCAGTTTTTCCGAAATCAGCAAATCAAGACTTTCTGCTTGTGTACAATATACCATTTGAAAGCCACTGATCAGCTTATTTAAGAACTGACATCAGCAGCTAGGAAGGAGGTAGTTTTTTGGGAGAAATTGTTTTAAAATGTGAAACCGAAAATCTTCCAAGACGTATCAATTTTCAAATATTATAGGTATACCCCGGAACAATAGCTTTTCAGGACCAATGTAAACAAACAATGATAAATAAGTATTCAAATAAACATAACTAGGTTAAGAATCCCAACTGGCGGGAGGCAGACCAGTTGGCTATTCACAAGCACAGCCGAGAAGTTGAACTCGGGGCTATCGAGAACAACATCAGCTAGCGGTCAGAACGGGAGTTTAACCCGGGACCTACGGATTTAAAATCCGGCGCTCTAACCACTCGGCCGCGCTGCCTCCCTCAAATTTTCACAAAGTTATGACGTTGTGTGCCAAATGGCGCTCGTAGGGAGTAATGGGTTAAGAGTTGCAACTGCCATGTTGATGGGCACATTGAAAGTTTCACTTTGCTTCATCTTTTTTTTTTCCTTTTTTGCTAAAATTCATTTTTGCATCTTTTTAGTCCTGGCACTGTAACAGAATCAAATGACGTGGTCATAAATAGTTCACCAGACGTGAGTCACGTGTAACACTGACACAAAGAATCATTGTGATAGAGACAATTTTGTGTGGTGAATCATAGCTAGTGCAACTTGGTGTTGTGCGACAGAGAAGATGAAAGAAGCCTTTACATCTGGCAATATTTAATTTTAATGGTGATTTTTTCAGTACAAGATTTAAATCATTGTCATTGTGATTGTCGTTTTTGATCTGGTCACAAGACCAACTCATGGAAAGGGCTCCTTCTGTTCGTGATCGACAGAGCAGTAGAACCTCATCTGTAAAGAGATACTGTAAATGCTCAATCCGTTTAATTTATTTGTCAAGTTGAACTGAAGCCAATAGCATAATTAGTCTTCATGTACATAAATCATTCATGATTCAAGTTCATGTTTAATTTGGCAGATTAAGAGCTCGGTGGGTGGACTCCCGTGTAGAAAAGATGGAGGTGCTTGTTGGAAATTTTGAAAAGAACCCCTTAGCGGTACCAAGATCCTCTTTTGTGTGCGTGGCTTTAAATTTTTCTCTCCCCTAAGAGATACCAATTCTTACATAACACATTATCTCTTGTCATATTTTTTCCCCTCAATACCCTAGAAGGTAACGCAAAAGCTCCCGCTGTGGACCTTTTGAGGCTGAACACCCTGAGAGATACCAAAACCATGTTTTTAACCCCTAAAAGGTATGACGAGCACCGCCGTCATTTTGTATGG